AAGGGTGGACTGTGCACTGCTGATCACACGCAGGGAGTGAGAGAGGGAAGAAGGGGAGAGGAGGGGGGTAGAGAGAGAGAGAGAGAGAGAGAGAGAGAGAGAGAGAGAGAGAAAAAGACGGGCTTTTCTGTTTGGTTAATGACTTCCAGACACAGATTTGCATTCCACCGCCGTTTGTGGGGTGAATGTGAGGTTCTCCCTCTCCACCCCCCAACACTTACCTTTTCAATGAGAAACATACATTTTGAGATGCTCCCCAAAAATGCGTCCACGAATAACAAAGTCAAGGGAGGAAGTACGTGATGGATTAAAGGAATTAAACTGTCACTGTGAGAGGAAACATGCTTTTAAGAGAAGACCTAAAGACGGATCGTAAGGAGAGGAAGGCAGCGATGGCACTTGAGACATCAACATGTGCAACTGATTAAGATTCCAAGGGGCCTATTAAGAAATATAAGATGTCATTAGAAAAAAGAAATAAGTATTTAAATTGCATATCCAGTTTAGATCAAATTTAAGACCAAAAATTCACATTTGAATTGGAAGCCATTTTTTTAATGGCTCCAGTTGCTAAATTCAAAGTGGCTGATAGACGCTGTTTGCAGTTTTAGTGGGAGGGAATTAAAAAAAAAACATGTTTTGTTTGTAATTGTGTGTTTTGGTTTTGAATAGTACAAAAACAACTGACAACACCGAATCACTATGTCAACAAAAACATCTTGTGCATGTGACTAATTATGTTTTACAAGATAAAGTGCAAATGTCTGTCAAGTTGATTTATATTTAGTCTTTTTGTTTCTTTTTTTGGTTTGTCTGGAATGTTTTAGTGGATTAGGATATTCAGACCAACCACTATGAGAGACAATAGAAGCAGTCAAGCACGGAAGGCGGCTGCATTCCTCTGCCAGATACAATTATAAATAATAAAAGAGCAATAAGAAATTTTTAAAAGTAGTTATTTGCTACATCTCGAGTACAACAACACATTAATGTCATTGAAGCCAGATGATGACACACAGTCGCTTGCACATTCTAAATGGTTTGGGACCGTAATTATGACATTGTCGTTACAGTGTGATGGAAGAAGCAATATAAAAGGCAGGAATTATGTCTATTTAAAGATGAGATGCTTGACAGCTACAGATTTTTTCGTTGCTTTTCTTGTAATAAAATAGTAACAGTGAATATCAACCATTAAAAGAGTTATATAATTACGGTGATCAATAGTTGTTTTTTTTTTGTGCTTCCTTTGCTCCATGGATACTAAATTATGACTGTAAATTTAATTTAATGCATGTGAAAATTAGTGCCCAATTTTATTATCTGTGCATGTGTACATTGTAGTATTTTGTTAAAAAAAAAAAAAAAAAAAGCAGGTTTATTGCCTTTGCATGGTTGTATGCTATGATTGAGAGTGAGTTTTAATTCTTTGATCCACTGTCAACAAATTCAAACAAACATTTGACAGTTGCCAGTCAGGCGCAACTGCTGTTTCATCTAATTCGCAGCTATTTGCATTGTCTCCAAGTTAATGCTCATTATTAGCCGGAAATGTGGATTTTCGTATTTTTAAGTGAGACCACAATGTGGAGGCAAGGCGAATCAGTCACTGTTTTAGTCACAGTGTTTCAAATGAGGATTTCTTTTTTTCTTTTTCCCCCTCTGCTGGTATTTGCAGATTATACTCGATGTATTTGCAGATTAAGGGGACAGGTTGTGTGAAAGACGGACTGCTGGGGCAGACAATGTGACCAGCCAACCATTATATGACCTGCTGGATCCCAGCATCGCTGAATGCACGCTCACATGCACGCTCACATGCACATACGCTGTTGCACGGGGCGTGTACACGTTCACAACCCATCATGCGTTTAGCTGCAGGAGCGCACTGATTCATCACCGCATGAAACCCCACACCGCCATATATGCACTTTCGTTAAGAGCCTCATGTTTCCAGACTGTAATTTTTTACTCAATATGGGATGGCATGTTGAGACATTTCTGGAAAGAATCACCCAAGATTTACAGAAACGTCACCGCCCTTGTTGTCTCAATTTATCATTCCTGCATTTTTTTCTTATCGCTTATTCTTCAGGCTTTGTCTTGACCCATCCCCCCAACACACACACACACACACACACACACACACACACACACACACACACACACACACACACGCACACACACACAGTTTACAGACACCTAATCTCATACTTTCACAGGCCTTGTTGCTAGGAGATGAGTGTTTTTGTGTGGAGACACTAACGGATAAATGTGCAGTGTATTAACGTGTGCTTGTATCTGTATTTTAAACCTCGAAACAGATAAAAGGTAGAAAGGTTGAGGCTTGCGCCTAAATATGTGTTTTGCTTATTGAATGAATTCAAATGCTAGTGTCGTTAAAATATTCTTCGGAATTCAAGCATGCGCACACAAGGATGTTCACAAATTCAGCAGAACACGTCACAGCATAAGCACCGTTCTCATTCATGATAGTTTGATATTATTTTCATGCTTCATTAGTTTGAACCACATTAAAAAAAACATTCATTCTTTTGGGGCAGTGTGTTGTGTATTTGTGTGTGTGTGGGTGTGTGTGTGTGTGTGTGTGTGTGTGTGTGTGTGTGTGTGTGTGTGTGCGGACTGTTGCTTTGTGGGTGGACCGGTGTGCAGTATATCACAACAGCTCTCTTCTCTAAAGTACTGGTGCATGTGCGCAGAGTACAGTGTGTTCACAGGAAATCTCACCAAGTGAAAGCGCAGCGTGATGTTTTGTCATCACTCATTCAAAAGGCAGACGGACTTGACTCATCAAAATGTGATCAAAACATTTCTATGACTTTATATTCTGCGAAGTGGACAATATGTTACGACTCACCATCCGTTCATATTATACGGACTGAGCATTGGCTTGTCAATGGGGAGTTTTACAGGTGTTTCAGGCCTCGAATTTTGCGGTGCTGTTGTTGCCTGAATGTTGCATAGAAACTGTCCACCCCCCATGTCTTTCAAATTGGACGGCAGGTCAGCTCATTAGAACCACCAATGGTGTCGTCACGCCTTCCTTGTGGAACGATGGAAGACCTTTTAAATGATACATGGGGGCAGTATCACACTGTGCAAAAGACGCTCTCGACATCTACTCCATATCATGTTTGACTTGAAAATGACTTTTTATTATTGGGCCCTTTGCAATGTATTTCACTAAATTACGTCCATTCTCAAAATTTCAAACGTGTGTAAACCGTTGCAATAATTACAACTGCAGCAATGTCATTTGTTACGGTTTTCCCTTGGATTGTACAATTTCAGTCAAGGTAATAATCCCTTGTGCTGTGTATGCAATTAGTTGACATTGTTTTAGCTTTTTAAAGTTGATTGCATTTGATCCATTCAACCTGCAGTAACACATTAGAGTTTAGATTTTTTGATTGTCCGATGATTTAAGTATATTATAATCCTGATATAATGAGTGATACGCCAGAAAAGCTTTGCGGAAACCATCGTAATGGAGGTAAATTATTTATGAATCCATCCATCTATCGCTGAACCCTGTTCACTATTACGGGGGTGTTGTGTTCATTTCAAACTGTATTCGAAATTGGTCCCATTTGAATTTCCTTTCTCCTGAATACATTACCTATCGGGCCGTCTTACAGACCCTTCCCTAGCGCCTTCCGTTTTTTTGTACTTGCCGTCCTTCCTCCCCAAGAAAACATCTTTTAAAAAATTGCGACATTAAAAAGAATTGTCTACAGAGGTGGGACTTAAGATTCTGAGAAGTTGACACAGGAGAGAAAAAAGGAGGGAAAGAGGCTGAGAGATGAGATGTTTGCTGACAGAGTGTGTCTTATCAGAGACCGAGTCCAGATGGTCCACAAACACACCTACTCTGCTTTCTCTCCCTCACTTTTTATGATCTTTCATTCGGTAAAGTACTCTCTCTCATATTCTGCCGCGCTTTTCCATCCACGAGCCAGACCCACCCTGCTTGCACATTTTTAGCATGAGCTCCACAATATAAATTGTCCACCACCTCTGACCATGTTGCAATAAAAGTTTTATCCAAAGGGCTCATCTTCCTGGAACGCCGTAAACCAGAACGGCGAGAGCTGCATTTCATCATGAGAGCAGTGTTGATAGCCACTGCGAGACGTCGTGGGAAAATGGGCTGCTGAACAAGAGAAGCTACTGGAGCAGCGTGTGGGATCATAATGAGGGAAAAATAACCCAGGATTCAATGTCGTCTCCCTTCCCGCCCTGAATTATTTTAATTAATGTCAGCGCATGCTTACATCAGCAACTTGAGAGAACTTTTCACACGACAGTATAGGACAAAATCCAGCTGTCTATGTAAAAATGATATCGGTTAAATAAACAACAAAATAACACAGAATGTCCTGAACCACTATTTCTACAAGTATGTCATTTGATTACTTGATAGCGTTTTAGTCATAAGTTATGATATATAAAACATAACCTTTTGGAACATCGTTGAGAAATAGAGAAACCTTTACAACACAGCTAGTCATATACAGCAGCGGTCCCCAAACCCCGGGCTGCGGACCGGCACCGGTCCATGGGTCATTTGGTACTAGGCCGCACAGAAAAAATAAATAACTTACATTACTTCCGTTTGATTCATTTCGGAATCTGAAAAATGTTTTATTTTGAAAAATTACCAGATTCCCTGTTGCATCTGTCATATACAGCAGCGGTCCCCAAACCCCGGGCTGGGGACCGGCACCGGTCCATGGGTCATTTGGTACTGGGCCGCACAGAAAAAATAAATAACTTACATTACTTCCGTTTGATTCATTTCGGTATCTGAAAAATGTTTTATTTTGAAAAATTACCAAATTCTCTGTTGCATCTGTCTAAAGTATGTCACTCTTGACGCAGGTCATGGCGCTCTTCTTAGTCACGTGATAGGTTACCGCTAAAATGAAAACCAGGACCTAGCAAAATGAGTAAAGAAACAAACAGCTTTGGAAAGTTTCTTCGGTAAGGAGAAAAGGCCCAGCTGGGAGACAGAAGAGCAGCCTACGACTTTCAAGAAAAAGATTTCTACATTTAATAGACAGTATCAGGAGTCCTACCTAAAATATGGATTTATCTCAATGGGAGATTCCCACGCACCAAACCCACTCTGTATACTATGCGGCGATGGTGATTCATATTTTTCATGCACTTTGTATTTGCGGTGTATCTTATTTTGAACGCATGATTAATCGTTACCAGGCGACCAGAGTCTTGCGGACAGATTGGACATTCTCCGTGTCATGATTCGTGTTTATTATGTTCAGAAAATACCACAGTTTTCATGCAGGTCATATCATATTATTTTGTTGCATTTATCCCGCCTTAAAGGCCAGTACCTGAAAATATTGTCTGACATTAAAGCGGTCCGTGGGGCAACAAAGGTTGAGGACCGCTGTCCTACCTAAAATATGGATTTATCTCAATGGGAGATTCCCACGCACCAAACCCACTCTGTATAATATGCGGCGTTGGTGATTCATATTTTTCATGCACTTTGTATTTGCGGTGTATCTTATTTTGAACGCATGATTAATTGTTACCAGGTGACCAGAGTGTTGCGGACAGATAGGACATTCCCCGTGTCATGATTCATGTTTATTATGTTCAGAAAATACCACAGTTTTCATGCAGGTTATATCATATTATTTTGTTGCATTTATCCCGCCTTAAAGGCCAGTACCTGAAAATATTGTCTGACATTACAGCGGTCCTTGGGGCAACAAAGGTTGAAGATCGACAGTACACATGTATTTACAGAACCCCAGTATCACCCCGGTCAAAGTGTTTTAGTCTTATCTAGCTGCTCTGGGAAATGAAGACAGACGAGGTGACAGGGAAAATGAACCACAAGCACCTGGTGGATTCCTCCAGCAGTTACTTCAGAACGTGTGTGCTTGTGCTCCTCGCCTTGATTTTGCAGACATGCTTCCAAGAATCTTATCAATTTGTATATTTATAACAATACTGTATTAACTAACAGCAGAGGTGGAAAGTACCAGTAATGAATTGCAGTACATTTCTTTGCAATACAGGTGAAACGAGTCATTTGAGTACCTCAATTAAAAAAAAAAAATGCTGAGTATTTTTTATTTTTATTTTTTCTGCCTCAAGTACCCGTTCATTTGGTGTGCGTGTCACTCTAAATTGTCCCGAGATGTGATTGTGAGCGTGAATGGTTGTTCCTCCATGTCATGGGTGCCAAACTCATTTTTGTTGCGGCCCACTTTGGAGTTACGTCTTCCCTCGCAGGGCCGTTATGACAGTGACACCGAAGAAATGTTTAATCATCACATCATATTATTACTTGTACACAAAAAAATGATGGATTACTAGTTTTGAAATCAGTCAACTATTTGTTGTTTCTTCAATTATTTTTCAAGTGAGTGTAAACCGAGGAACACAGTTATTTCTGTATTTGACTCATGATTTGCTTTCGTGGGCCACATAAAATGATGTAGCGGGCCGGATCTCAGCTCGGATAATGGAGGCATGGATATCAGGAAGACAGTCAAGCAAGCCGCAGCGGCAATTGTTCATGGTATGTGTGATGGTAACACGCGGTGGGATCGCCAGCTTAAACAAATAAACCAAAATAAACCTTAGCTTAGCAAAGAACACACGGGTAACAATGCAATGGTACACTTTCACGTTGAAGTTGTTTTCCGGCAGTACGTAGTGATGGGGCGGCTGACTTGGCTGATCTTCCCGACTGTAGTTTGGTCCAGTTTGTATTGCCGTAACAAATGGTTTGTCACCAAAAGCAACACGGTGCCATTCTGAAATCATGTTTCATTGCAAGTGGATGATGCTCAAAATTGATTCATCAAGTTGGAAAAGTAAAGTAAAGTAGCCACCTTAGTCAACTATAAGAGCTGGACACACTCCAGTGGAAATCAAGTATTCTCCAGAGAGTTCTTCCCGACTCTGTTGCAGAAGTTCCAGTAAATGTGGAGCACTTTCAAATTGCTTGGATTTCATTCTTTTGACCAGTTCATCCCAAACCAGCTCCGTGAGGTGAAATTCTGGAGACTGTGCTTCTTGCTTTTTAATTCTGAAATGGACAATAATTCTAAGCTACTCATCGGGCTTGAAGTGATTGACTCGCAATTGAAAAAAAAAAGTGAGTTGTAAAAATGTTGACAAATAGTTTCTTTTATGGTAGTCTGCATCTTATTTGATTTTTTTATAGACCATGTAGTTTTAACTTGAGTAGAAAAGGTAGAAGTGAAAATAAAATTGATGAAAAACAAATTTGTCATGCTTGCCAATAAATATTAGATCGATGTCCCAATAGAATGACTGTCCTTTTTTTTTTTTTTTTTTTAACAAAATGTTACTGCGAGTCATTTCCCTGAAAATACAGGCATTTCCTCATTGTTGCCACCCATTCAGTTCACACTAGTAGCTGACTGCATGTTTCACTCTCCGGTTTCATGAGAAAAAACTTGGCACCTGAATGCTTTTTGTTCTTTTTTTTTTTTCCTTTTTTACAACACATCTTTATTTCTATTGCACTTTCACAACAGCTGCGGCTGTAACAAAGTGCTTAATGAGGAATTACAACAGAAACAGGACTGCCGTCTTACAATCTAAAGTCGGCAACTAGCTGAGGTAGGCAATGAGCTGTCTCACACACACGCACACACACACACACACACACACACACACACACACACAAAACAAAACCCCTCTCGTCTTCAGGCTACTGACCAGGGACGAACACACAGTAACTCACCTTACTATTTGTTGCTAAACAATACACACATCCTGAGTGAGGTAACCACCACAGCCTCTCTTTTTTCCCCCCTCCAAGCAACTATCATGCTTTTTGATGACACATGCCGTGCAAGGCTTGGGTTGCCAAAAAAGGTCCTTAAACCCACTTATGAAGGCTCATTTACCTCATTTAAACCTGGCACTCTTGAGGTATTAAAAAAAAAAGAACCGTTTCATAAGCTGTTCACAGATGCCAAAGTGAGTGTGTTCGCAAAAAAAATGTTTATCAGGCAGAAATACACTACGGACGTTGAGTTCACGTCCAAAATATGAGTTCATGAACTTTCATTCATTGAAGTTGTTCAGGTACAACATTAATTAATTTGTACTTCTAATGTAATATCTTTTTCGACATTTACTTGTACGTGAGTCAGCTTTCATAATATACTGTATTTGTACCTGTACATGTGTACAGTACTTTACTACTTTTCTGACCTCTGATGACCAGACTGTGACTGTAATAAGCGTATTTATGACTCTGGTTACTAGTAGAGAATGTCCCAGTCTCGATCACGTCATTGGAAATCTGGCCCGAACATGTCAACTGATTGGAATTGAGGGGGGGGGGGGAGATATTTAAAATCGTTCGTATTTATTTATTTATTTGTTTACTTTTAAGGGCTAAAAAAACAATTTAATCCAAAGGTAAATAGATATTGCCAAAAGAAAAACATACATATGCATACATGGGGGATACACAATAACTGTTGTTTTTTTCCCACCGATACTGATATCCTATAAGTTCCTGATTCTCCAAACTCACTCCAATAACTAACTTTTTTTTAATATAAACTACAAATGTATCTGTTGTTGCAACTTAAAAAAATAAAACATTTCAATCCTGCTTCCTACTGATGTAAGGGTCGGAGGATGATCTAAAAAGTGGTGAGTGACAACATACATTTGTGTCTTTTGCTACTTTCTGAACTCATGTCATTTCAGAAGGTGAGATGATGAATAATCTCAAAAGCTCTTGATGCGTATCAGTACCTATTAATGAAGTTGGCCATGCTTTGTTATCACCCCCATTAGTGTTTTAGAAATATTCAACAGTAATGCTTTAAAGAATAAATCACTCAAAATTATTTTCTTTGCATTGACATTTCAACAATGCATGTTCCACATACAGACACATATTTTTAAATAAAGGCAGGACTCCAAACATTTTAGTGCGAATGGCCATTTTCATGCGATAGATTTTCAAGGACTAATACAAAAACAAATCATTAAAAAAATATCACTCTTCATGCAGTAGCTGAACTTCAACGAGCCATGGCTGTTTGTATTCCAACAAGAACAGTTGGACAACAGTGTAGTGTCATAAAATTTGCTATCCATCCATCCATTTTCTGAGCAACTTTTCACTATTAGTGATTAGATTAGCCATAGCTCGGCTCACCTGCCCCGCTTTTGTTTACGTTACCTCCGCCGCCTACAGCACCTGCCAGCCCCGACAACAACACATGGAGGTCCCTCTGGTCATGCACTATCCATCCAGAATATTACATCCAGAAAATCCGTGAGAAGTCATCAATTTGTACTGCAATCCAGTGCTAATTAAGTCCATACGATTAAAGTACCCAGCAACTAAAGTAAAAGTACAGTTAAAAACGGCAAAGGCACGAGACAGTTGTCAATCTTTGGTGTTCGAACACTCTGGAGGCCGCCCAAAGCAAGCCGCCTTCAAGGTGGTGCTGCGGCCGTTGGGCCGAGTGATGCCCGGGGAGTCTCGGCCTTTGCTCTCTCATTCAAGTGAATGTGACCGAGCACACAGTGCCTGCCCTCGTAAAGATGTATGACATGTTGTTTTTAAGAGGAGACTTTGGTGGTTGTACATGTATTGCCTCCTACTTCATGCAGTAGAGGCTTGGACTCTTAAAGTGACCACACTAACGTGAGTGCATTTGAGGCGGCTTTCAAGGCCGTTTGAATTTACTGATACAGTATTGGACTTTTTTTTGTCATATAGGGTCACATATTATGGGTCTAATAATTTGATCATGCATGCCTAATGTACATTTTATACTGCACAACAGTGGAACAGTGGCCGTAAACACATTTAGTGGGGGAACATTGTGGCAGTTGTCGCGGGAAGCTAACGTGAAGCTAGCATCTTACAACAATAATAATGGCTGGATGTTTAGAAATATTTTAATGTGCAAAGTGCAGACAGTGCAACCCTGACCACAGTGAAAATTGAGCATTACGGATGGCGGAAAGGATCGGGCTGTGTTTAATACAACTGATTTAATATGAATGTGACACCCCCACCAGCACACACACACACACACACACACACACACACACACACACACACACACACACACACACACACACACACACACACGCACGGATAGGATTTAAATGTTTTACAAGGTGTAAAGCACTTTTCCACTAGCCATATAAAAGGTTTCAGGTTGGGATTGTTTTGTTCCAGTAAAAAAAGTAACAAGAAAATCAATGCACTCTTTTTTTCTCCTTAATACATTGCCGGATCGTGACTCAGTATCAGCAGATCCTCAAAATCAGGTAACTTGGACTCAGATGCAAAAAATGTGATCCTTGACAACCCGAGTCATTCGTATCGTTGGTAGCAATTCAGGTTATTCTACTTAAGCATTAAGTATAAAATTTGAAAAATACAAAAACCAGGTTACGGGGCAGACTACCACATCTTAAAGACACTTTAAACTTAATGGGATGTAGATACACACGGGCTCGAGTTCACTCGCGACCCCGGTGAGAATAAGGCGGACAGAAAATGGATGGTTAGACAAAAACAACCTCGTTTAAAGACCTTCAGGCACACACACTTAACCCCGTGTCCTCTTTGTGGTAAATCCCCACCCCCATGCTCCTCTTGCCACTCCCCGTGCAGCTCTT